ATATGCAGAATCAAACCCAGGACCTTCTTGATACAAGATAAGATCGCCACCCACTGCTCCACCGCACATCCTTCTTGAAAAGGATATTATTTACTATAAAGAACCATTGTAGGGGGTCTAAAAAGCCTCTTGCGGGTTGCAGGCCCCTGCCCTACAATGTAGTCATGCTTTTTTAGTACAGATTCTTGTTTTTTAGGGTCTGCAAGATGCTGGTTAAGGGGCCCCATGTCTAATGTGAAGATGTTTGGAATTCATTTGATTCTCAAACTATTGCATCTCACAATTAAAGCAGATAATATTGACGATTAACTCTCAACATTATGGCACATTTTACTTTCACCTGTTATGCAATGTAATACGAGCTTGCGAAATAATTGTGAATTGGTGGCAGTTATTCACAACACACCTAAAACCATTTATATATACATATCTATTAAGAAAAAACGTCGCAACACCAAGAATAACTTTAATAATAGCTGTTTTGTCTGGAAAATATTTCTTTATTGGTCATTGAGCATCCATCCACAATATACAATGAAAACAAATTTAATATTTAGCTGTACTCATAGTTATTTATATTTTTCATATTTTTGCTCTATATTTTCCATCCATCCTAGCTGCTCTGAACCCAGCCTATACCTGCATTAGGAGGACAAGAAGGTGATTATTATTAGATCAACAATAATGAAAGATGACTTAATCAAAAGGAAAACTAGCAGTTCACAGGTATCAACCTCTTTAATGCAATGTACCGTACTAGAAATATGATGAACAGTAGGAAGTTGTAAATATAACATTTTCCAAGGTGTCTTTTAGGGAGAACTTCAGCCTTTAGAGGTTTTGGACTTTTTGACCCACTGGTGGCAGCTTTCTGTGTCCATTAGAGCTAGATTGGATGCATTAACAGCAGGGTAAAAAAGGACACCTATTTGATCACTTCTCATAATTTCAAATATCTAAAAATAAATTTATGCTCTCAAGGATCGTTATTAGTGGATATAACAGCAGTAACTAGCCCAATGCTTTCAGATATGGGGATTTGCAAAGATCAGTAATTGGATTCATTGCTTTCAGGATTAATAGCAATTCTTATCATGATAAGAAATGTTTCATGATGCAATCAACAGAACACTAAATGCTAATCTGTAGTTTGGATTAAAACCCAGATCTGTGAGATGACATTAATTGTTTTTTTCTGTTTTTTCTATTTCTACAGCAGTAGAAAAAAAGGAAATAATTACAAACACACACGCAACAACTACCTGGTTTCTTTCAGCTTTTTAAAATCTATTACAGTTCAGAGGTGTGGTGTTAGTTTTCTTCTGGATCAATAACAAACTGACGCTAGGACTAGTCAACAACCAATCAGAAATGTTTCTTTGACTCTGTCCACAAAACCCCACTTCAGGGACATTCCTACTCTGATAACCTGTAGCCTGATAGATGAAGGACGTTGGCAGGGAAACTATCATGGCACCCAGAAAAGCATTTAGGCATTGACAGAGCAGTTTGATTATGTGGTACATGGCATTGCCATACTCATGTTTTATAGCTACCAAAAATAAAATGAAAAACATTCAATAAAATAATGTAAAAGATAAATAAGAAAATATAATGAGTCCATGATAAAACTGAAATGTACATAGAATTTGTTTTGGCACAACTTTAAAATCTACATTTGTTGTCCCATATTTATACATTTCTAAACATCTTACATCTTAAGAGTCCTTATAATAAATTTGCAAACTTTTTTTTTTTAATCTTAGATAATTTAAGCACTCTGATTTTCTTTAAAACACCTTATATGATTGTTTATTCTTGCCACCAA